GACTCCCTCCCCCCCCCCCCCCCCCTTACGACGTAAATTTTGGTTTAAAAATAACCTTCCATCTTGTTTTATGATTTTTCTTTTCTTTCTTGGGCGATTATAGTCTCCCCATGACGTCCAACAACCTGGTCAAGGGACCCTCCTCAGCCCTCACGCGCGACTCCATCAATACTCTTTGAGTGGTTGCGATCAATATTCTCACCATCCTTCTCTCACACATACACACACACACACACCTGCTGCGTACTCCGTACGCACACGCGCGCTCACACACACCTCCAGTCCCCACGCCTCTCATCAGCCTCTGAGAGACTGCAGACACTGGCACATTCGATCTTTTCCCACCGCTCTTGTTTATGATCTCGAAAGCTTAACTACCAGACAGACAACCCAAACAGGCTGGTAGCCAGGCCTCTGCCTAAGATTCTAAAAGCGGCCAATCACCACGCCACTTGGCCAAATTCCATTATCCGGGCCATCTCGGTTTATTGGTGTCTAAGGATAAGAGAGAGGCCTCTGCTCTCTGGTCAATTTTATATTTCAACCTTATTCCTCTTCCCAAAGCCAAGTCCTTCCCATTTTTACCTTTGTTGATCATCCCCAGAGTGAGCGAAGGCCTTGATCTGACAAATGAAGCCTGGTAAGCTTAATTTCATCTGGTGCTACTTGAAAAATAGTTATCCGGAGCTATTTCCTCTCCATCTTCATCCCCTTCTTCACTGTTGACCAGGACTCATCCACGTTTTTTTGCTATATATCCCTTTTATTTTCATTCCTCTTTACTTTTTCTTCCCTCCCACACTGGTAAGGGTGACCCTGCCTGCTTTTTTTTTTTTTTATTTTTATTTTCTTATTTTATTCTTTTTTTTTTTTTCCTTTACCTCCCCCCAAGCCTCTTCCATTACCCACTGTGGAATCCCGTACTGTAGGCTCCCAGCTTCTCTTTTTTCCACCTTAACTGCATGACATGGTGTACCCATCTTGTATCTGGTTCTGCAATAAAGGTGTGATATTAAACAGCACAAGGTTTAATCCTATTGTTGGAAATGAAAACGCTCTGGCTGTTGTTTTTCTTAGAGCCTTTCCCCTGTGCGTGTGTGTATACTTCCTAACAGTTGCAGCAGATATCTAATATCACTGTTATCTCTAGGAAGCTAGAAAGCACTCTTCCAACCTTGTCACTATCTGCTTACAGACAACATCCAAGGGAGACTGACACTTACGATTTGAGTTGCGAGGCTCTTTTTTTTACTAAAGATATCCCCCAAAACAAAAGAAGGTCACGAGAATATCTGGTGCATCAGACCTATTCCAGGCATCAGAACCACCTCTCTGTCTACCTATAACTAGACACCTACCAAAGACCAACCACCTCCTTTTCCGCAATAATACGGCCACGGACTCACAACCCTTTACCATTGCTATAGGGGCAGCATGAGCTGTAAGTTGATCTATTTACTATGATTTATGAAGTGTCTTTATTTTTTTCATGAGTTTGTCCTGTCTGTCTACAATGTTCCGGCACACCCACCCCTTATGACTCCTGATAAACATTGGTTTTGACCAGTCTACCTTGACATAAGCTTGGCTTTTTCATTTATAAACCCTTCCCTCTCTTCCTCCCTTTTATTTTCAAGTATAAATCTGCTCGTTTCCTGCTCTCTTTCTACCCCTCATTTGTTTTGTCCGTGTTACGTGGCTTGTTTATTCACATTTATTCCAAGCACACGAATGCACAGCATCTACTATCAATTTCATTTCCCCTTGCTGGAGAGACTCCCCATGCTTTACTGTGCCCTGGATTGAGAAGACCAGCCAGTTAACTAATAGTCAGGAGGGAGAGAAAAGAGCCCATGATTCTTAGCTTACGTGCTAGTGAACTCACATCGGATTTTATAGACTCAACCTATCCCTCCCTGACCTCCAGGCATTCTCCAGAATCAACCTCCAGCTCCCTGTCCTCAGCTGCCAGCTTGAACTCTTCCTCCGCGTACTCTGCTACGTTGGACGTGGCATCTGCTGCCACTACTCCGCCGTGTATATCGAGGAACGAGCTGGACCAGAATATGACTGATTACAGACTGCATAGTGTATCTGCGCTGTATGTACCGATGCCGCAAGGTAAACACCTTCCTTATGTTCTGAATTGGTATATCTGACAAATTTGTGTGTTTTGGGAGGGATAGCTGCACTCAACCACAACCTGGACTTCCATCCACAATGCAATCTTCTGGAGGAGTTTTGCCCGCCTCTCCTGGTATGATGCCCAGGGGAGATGGCTACCATCTCCAATACCATCAGCCTGCCAGGAGCGTGTTTCCAAACTCCAACGGACTTGCGATGAATAACCTATCCCGCTACTCCAATTATCAGACAACACGACCGATGGATATGAACTCGAATGCACAGGGTGGCACAATGTTTGGTGCTTCCGGGGGCTTTGTTTTCGACTCACCAGCATCAAGGCAATCGAGCTCGGCAAGCCCTGAAGCCCCACCGTTCCACGAAACCACCGTCTTGCACAATCTGTTGATAAACAACCACCCTGTGAGGCCGGACATCAACGCGAAGATTCACAAGGGGTTCTTCCAGGTGGACGGTAAATGGACCTGTTACCGGCGAAATTACTTCTCCCTATCATGTTCCTTCACTTTGCGGCCTTGGATCCAGATGCAGAGCTCTACTCCATACATTCAGCTTTCCAATGGTACCACCCCGAGGGTCAAATCATTTGCCATGGCCATTTCTGCAGTGGTTCATGGACAGGAAAATGAGGTGCGGGAGCTTGTCCAGCACACGCCAAAGCGTGATAAGCAGTCCGAAAGACGCCCAGGCAAAGTTTCTCTCGAACCACAGCCACCACCATCCTTGATGCTTAACGCAGGGCCAGTGAACAACGGCCATCACCATATGGCATTTTCGATGCCTCCTCAGTCTCCCATGCATTTCGACTGTGGCTCTGCATTTGGCAGCGGTCACTCTCAGGCGGTACAGACCGCACCAACATCCCATACCTTTGAGCGAATCCAGTTCCAGAAGGCAACAGCTAACAATGGCAAACGTCGTGCGCAGCAACAGTTTTACCAGCTGGTGACCGAACTTTACGCCGATGTCAGTGATCCCAACTCGAAATCGTCGCCACAGTGGATCTTAGTTGCGAGGCGCCTTTCATACCCCATGGTTGTCCGAGGACGATCTCCCGGCCATTACAAGGATGGACGGCGTGAAAGTACGACGAGCATTGGACCCGAGAGCGACACCGGAGCTTCAGGAGACGGGCGAATGAGCGGTCTTACTAACGGGATGGTGCAAAGCACACGGCAACCGCCTCCTTTGCTTTCTACGTACGACCAAAGCCATGGCCGACGAATGACAGCCACCGATCAGCCTCCATTAACCGCAGGATCCCTAGTTTCTTCATCATCTTCTTCACCCGGGTTTGACTTCGGAATGATGAACGATTCCATGAATCCAATGGAAACTATGAAAGACACCAATGTTGACGCTTATGGCCATCAGTCGTATAACTCGGCTTCAGCTGTTCAGCGAAAGGTATGCATTGAACCGTCTGGCATGCGCAGCCACATGCCTGCTTTCAATGACCCAATTACTACAACAAAAAGCCAGGATCCACAGGATGGCGGATATGTCGAGCCTTTCGAGCCAATGGTTTCCCTAATGCATCATGACAACGCAGACAATCATTACTTCAATCGCCAGGATGACCATGGGCTGAGGAACGGAATGAAAATGCATAATTCCTACACGAGTAGACCGACTGCTCACTACGCTCGTTATTAATTTCTCATCTTCAACCGCCTCTCCTTATCCCGCACTCCACAAATATCACTTCATTTCCCTAAGTTTACTACGCCCTTCACTCTTTACGACTCTCTTCTCCCTGGCTGATTACACGCTCCCAAATTATGGCATGTCTTTGAGGAATGTCCTCACTTTACCTCTTTTCCTTTATACCCGCCCTCCCCACCTGTTGCATCAAGACATTCCACCATCAGCATACCAAGGACCGGCTGTCCTTTCTCCCCTTTGAAGACACTGCACACTGGTCTTCGGATGGCCATTTCATGGTAATGACTTGTATTTTTGCTTTTCCGTCTGGGCGCATCTTTTCCTTGAATATCTCTTTTACCTCCTTGACCCGCAATTTCCTTTGTTTCCACTACTTCTTGCTCCTTTCCCCTATTTCTCTTTATTGAACCTTCGGGCCTTCGACATTAATGAGAGATGACAGCCATGATAGCGACTGATCGTTAATAATCTAACTCAACACTACTCTGGACTCGTGAGGAGCTTATGCCTCCTTTCTACTGCAGACCGTGGCAGCTTCCCGACCTACAGCTGCCCCAGAAGCCAGGCCCGATAACTTCTTCAATGCTTGTTTCCACACAAGGCCGAACCTCAAATAACGATGACTCTTTCTTCTCCACAAGCGACACTGCCTTGATATCCTCGAATTCGCCGGGTTGACCGACCTTTTGTACTTCATGTATGTTATGAATGGCTATTCTGCTTCTCATGATTAGGGTTTCAGCACCTCACAAGAAAAATGGTGAGGAAGAAAAAACAAGGAAAAAAATTATAATGATGATTTGCATGTTATACTATTGTTGGAGGTGCTGCAGTTTGATGACTTCCCCTTTTTTGCTTGCTTGCTTGGTTTCATGAACCCGCCTTCTTCTTCTTCTTCTTCTTTTTCTTCTTCTTTTTTTCCCTAATACTTTTTCTTCTATTAATTGGCAGTTAGGGTTTTCTATACTTGTTTATGGGTGGGAATCTTGAGGGCAATACGGTGAAATGGACATTTGGTCAAAAAATGGGAAAGGGATGGATTACAAAATCATACATAGGAAGGCATCTTCCGTCAAAAAACGTTGAACTTGGGCCCCTTTTTCCTTCCTTTCCACCTTTTACTTCCAGGCTTAGGGACATTTGCTTTCTTTTCTTCAGCCAATTACTGTTTGATTCTCTTGTTATTGTATCTTTTTTTCTGAATTGATGTGATGACCGCTAGAATTTTCTGCCTCTAGCTTATGACTTGATGTCGGCGTTTTTTCAAGGGCATATACCCCTATTCCCATACCAATTATTCTACCCCATCCTATCTCCTTTCAAGATTTGGGTCTCCTCGTTTCTCCTGGATACGAACCAGGCTTGTTCGCGCAAGGATTGTCCTGGCTTATTTTTCTCTACGTGTATGTTTGCTAAAACTGCTAATCCTCAGATAGACCTGAAAAAAAAAAACTCATTTAGGGAAATCAAGATTGTGATAGGAGAAACTAAGATCCTACATTCCTTCAATTATTTTATCTTCGAACCTTGAACTAGAACAATCTCTGTGTGGCCAGCCGTGCCGTGTTGAGGATATAATGGAGTGGAAAAGTTTGGATATAGGTATAGGTAATCTAAAGCTATCTTTCCCCGGACATGGATAGATAGGCAATGGGGAGGTTGGGAAACTTGGAATTCGGCCAAGGCCTTCTATCCGAGAAAATAAAAAGATGAAAAAAAGGGGGGGATGCATGAAGGAGGAGGGGAGTGTAGGACAATCCACCGGGAAACGAATCGCAGAAGGTGGTTGCTAAAGTGGTTCGCCTGAGCTTCCCACCCCTTCTCCCATATGTGATACGATCAGGGGGACAAAATTATGCGCCATGACAGAGCAAAACGTAGCCGGTGAGACCCGTAATAGTTAGCTTTAGGAAAGAGGTCATTCTTTGCAACCCAAGAGAGATGGTTGACAATAAGAAGGTCGTTATAATAAAAAGAAAATAACGGCCAAGTAAGAGGCGGAACTAGGTTGGGTTCCACTCTCCTGGCAACCGTGGTATCACGATATGGCTTCCATGAAGCCGTCAAGGCAAGCAATGGTGTATAAACCATGGTAGCTTTCGGCATTGGTGGCATTAAAGCAAAAAGGAAAGAAGTAGAAAAATAAAAAATAAAAAAAAAAAGAACAAGAGCATCCACCTAAGCTTATTATGGAAGGCTATTTCAAGGAAGGCCGCATGCTGCATGTTAGCCAAGGCATCTCTGATAATCGGCCGACCAGAGTCCATCAGCACATCCATCATCATGCTCGTCATAAATCTGCCGCCCTTCGTCGCCAGCTAAAGACAAGGCAAGGCGGTGTCCATGCTGCATAAGATTATGGAATGGAGCGAATTCGAAAAGGAAAGAAGTAAGCAAAAACCAGGATGCTTCGGGAGGGAAAAGAAACAACATCAAGAAAGGAATATTAAGCGCCAACTATTATACATGGGATTCTCTGGCTCAGAGTCCAACGAAACGCCCAAAGGAGTATGGTGACATGACACAGCATACTGCGCCACTGCAACGTAGACAAAATGAAATTTAACAATGTCATCGTCGCGTTGTTTAGTTGGGGTATCCCCGAAAATAGCAGTAAGAAACCACTTCTTCCGTGCCTTTGCCAAGCAGGCAGGGCAGAGCCGGGCGGTGCATCGAGATGCTCAAAAAAAAGGGAGAAAAGATGGCTCCTGACCAAGAGCTGAGGACAAGGAAGGGTGTGCTCAAATTCTGGATGCCAGGAAATAGTTGTAAAAGAAAGGAAGAGACTCATAGCTTCGTAAGCTCGTGAGGGGGGCCTGGTGAGTTGGGTAATTGGCTGAACGACGGGGAGAAGGATGGTCAAAATAGCTTTGTGGTTTCACAACGGTGTATCCCGAGACCGGCAGTAGAACAGAAATGACGACTCCCTCCTCAATTGCCTAGTTGATCACCCATCCGAATTGCTTGCTTTCTCGTTTCGCCCTTCTCTCACCATCCCTCCCTTGCCCGACACTCACGCCTCCTAGCCAAAAGAATAACAAGAAAAGAAAGAAAGGGAAGAATAGGAGATGCCTGTTGCACGCATCCTTCTTTGCCAATTTTCTCGACTACCCTGCTTCAAACCGCGTTGGGGACACGCACTCGGAACTCAAAAATCCGAACTTGTATCTCTTCGGGCGACAGACGACGGACAACGGAAAAAGAGAGGTATAGCTGCTGCCATTATGCGTATGCGTATGTGGTGTCGTGTTGGCTTTCCCTGAAGCTCTTTCTCCACGTATTGCGCGCCTGCGTAGAAACTTCCATCGGACATCTTTTCCTTTCTCATTTATCCACTCTCGAGACGCTAATCGAGAGCTTCCGATCAAGCTCTGCTTGCTCCTCCTTTGACGGGGTCATGCCTAGCGATTGCTCGAGTTTGGGTGATGCCCACATCCCAAAGGCTGCGTAACCCATCAGGCCTAGGCCGAAAAGAAGACGAGTCCGAGGTTTTAGCGAGCGGTAAGATCTGGTGATTTCGTTCAATTAATTCAGCGCAGCCCATTCCACTTCATTCAGTTTGCCGCCTTTTTGAAGGTTAGAGGAGGGCAAAGCTCCCTTGCTGGCCTTTCGGATATGCGATGCAAGGCTAACTAGCGGAGTCTTCATTTTTGCTTCTTTCTGGATAGGTGCTTACATACGTCCAAAATGACATGGTGTCTTGTGTCTCAAGAGGCTGGCTGGCTGCAAATGTGCGTGATTGGCCTGTCTGGCTGGTGATGATAATGCTGTGTTCGATTGTTAAAAGGGCGAAGTCGAGACGTTGAAGTTTGATAGAAGAAGCTCGGATGCTGCTGGCCCAAAGGAGTTTAGCTCGGAGGATGACTTGCATGAATAACGTTCGCCGCTCTTCACCAAGATATAAAAAAAAAGAGGACGCTCAGGGTGATTCAGGGGGCACAACTTGGTGAGACTCGGGCGCCTTGTAGACCCGGAGTATTGCTTGTAGCCATTGCTGCATCCAACGTATTTGGTTGTCTTGCAGCTTATCCCTGCCAGTAACCAACTGGTTTGCTCGCTGGCCATTGAAGCCCCGTCTTCAGCATATCAAAACCCTTGCCCCTACGCATACATACATAAAAGAAGTAACTGGATGTCGGATATGGACAGTAAACACTGATATCTTCATATGCCTCGTTAGGTAAGTGTCCAAGACCTGCAAAGGTCTGACCGCAATTCTCCCGCTCCTTTCATCTAATCTCATTCATCTCGCCTTGCATATGCACTGACAACTCGATCTCTCCATGCATGCATGCATAAAGGAAAGATAACCCACTGAAGGAGAATTAGGAGATGGGCATGGTAATAATTAGTTAAACTAGAATTTTCAGCTATTCCTTCCTAACGGTCATGAAAAAAAAAAGAATACGAAACGAAAAAGAAGAAAAGAAAGTCTTGCAAAATTCCAGCGGTGAAAATATTCTTGGACTCGGACAGGCTGAAAATAGACGACCGAAGGAAGGAATGGGTGGAATCAGACAGGAACATACATGGAGACATCAGGAGGTAGGTATAAATGTAAATGTAAGGATGGGAATAGCAAACGAAAGGAGTAATGGCCAGGAAAAAAAGGGGGACAAAGCTATATACGGCCAATCGATCAAGTACACGGCAAGCTAAGTCGATGGTAAAAGCTGGACAGTCGGGCAAGGAGGAAGGAGTAAGGCTTTGTTTGTTTCGTTGTTTGTTTGAGTGGTATATTATATAGTTGGAGAGGCGGTGGCGGTGAGATGCTTCTAGGGGAGCAAACGGATGATGTGAGATTTGATGCCCGCTGTATTGGTCTGGACGAGGGGAATTCGCTCCATTCTACGAAGATTTTCCGTAGGCGCGATCTATGTCCTTCTGGTACTTGTTCACTAGCTTCTTGCGCTGTAGCTTCTGTGCTGCGGTGACAAATCCCTGTTCAACGTGGTTAGAGAAGGAAGTTTATGATATATATATAAAGGAAGATGTATGACTTACGTTCTGAGGAGTCCATTCCTCGTCTGAGAGGACGACACCTTCGATGATCTCAAAGCCACGCAGGCCAGCGGACTTGCCTACATTCTGCATGTCCCTCAAGATGATAGAGTTGAGCTTCTTGTCATGAACAAGAGTGCCGATGCTATCTCCCTGGATACCGTTGGACTTTGCAAGCTGGAGCAGGGCTGGCTCTGCAGGCACGATGATGGCAACAGGCTTAGCCTGGTCTTGAGCGGCGTATACGCAGATATTAGCCACAACGGGAGCAGAGCGGTAGATGGACTCAAGTTTTTCGAGAGCGATGTATTCGCCGTTCAGGGACTTGACGAGGTTCTTCTTGCGGTCAATGACCTTGATATGGCCGTTGGGCTCGAACTGGCCAATGTCACCGGTCATGAACCAGCCGTCAGGTGAGAAGGCGGCTTTGGTTTCTTCGTCGTTGTCGAAGTAGCTCTTTGCAACACTCACACCTCGGATCCAGATCTCACCCTGGGGTGGGTTGTTTTTGGTAAAGTAGCCTGCATCAGCGAAGTCGACGAGTTTCATCTCGACAGCGGCTGGAATTTCGCCTATGGCATCGTTGGTCCAGGCCATGGGATCGTTGAGACCGCCCATAGCAGAGGTCTCAGTCAAACCGTAACCGTTTATCATGGGGCAGACGGCCATGGAGAGGAATCGTTGAGTCTCTTTTGAGACTGGTCCACCACCGCTGAGAGTGAGGCGCAAACGGCCTCCGGTGGCATCTTTGATCTTCTTGAAGACAAAGGAGTCGAGTATACCGGCGCCGGGCAAACCAGTTGACATTAGGAACTCCTTGGCAGCCATACCAGCCCAGAAAATGCTCTTAACGATGGCACTGTTCTTGTTGACGTTGCCGATGATGCCCTTTTTCACGGATTCCCAGACCATGGGGACACCGACGAGAATAGTTGGCTGGAGCTCGCGGATGTCACCCTTGCAGTTTCTGACGGAGGTGTCTGAGAGGGTCTTGGGGCTTCCGTAGCCCATGGTGCCACCCCAGAACAGACAGAGGTTCTCAAACACAAATTCGAGGATGTGAGCTTGAGGCAAGTAGGTCAGGAGCACGTCGCTGGGGCCGAGATAAGGGCCAACAATTGAATCACCACCCGCCACTAAATCAAACTGTCAGATTCATGTACCTTCTCTCGTCAGCTTAAGCGGAGGACTTACTAGCACCGACAACATTTCCGTGGGTGAGAGGGACACCCTTTGGTGGACCCGTCGAACCAGAGGTGTACATAATACAGCAGAGGTCGTCGCGGGATGGGGGTACCGGGTCAACGGGGTTTTCCTCGCCCAGTTTCCGGAGGTCTTCATAGGTCATGATATTAATGTAGTCAAAGTCCTTTTTGAGCGCATCGATGTGCTCCTGTTTGGGTTCCGAGTTGGTGTCGTAGATGACATTCTTGACATCCTTTGCATCCTTGAGGACTTTTCGTAGCAGTGGGAGCAAGGTAGGGTCTAGGAAAATGGACTCGCTGTGAGTCTGCTGGAGGGAGTGCCTAACACCTTCTTCGCCGAGGGAATCGTACGCAGTCACAATGGTGATGGACTGAGATGCGGCGCCTAGACGATGTTAGAAGCTACCTTTGCAGCTATATATAACAAGCTATAGCCAAGCTTACCATGAGAAAGACACAGCCAGTGAGCGCTAGTAGAACGTTAGCCCAAGATGATCTCCCTAAAATTAAACAAAATATTCTTCTTCATGAGAAACAATAATATGAGAGTTAGAACTGACCTGGTAGAGCTGAAGAGATGGAGTCTGCTGCCGGCCTGATGGCCGAGCTTCCTGAGACCGGCACCAAGCTGCAGAGCCTGCTGCTCGTACTCCGTGAAGGTCAGGTAGCTGTAGCCACTGAGCTCAAAGTAGGTCCATTCCTTGTCGACCTCCTGCTCGACGCCCTCGACGAGCCGCTTGACCTTCTTGTTTTCAACGTGCGTCTTGACGACCCTGCGCGAGCCGACGGCCTTGGAGTTCCCGTATGTCTTTGCGCTCCATCTGAGGTTGTCGTAGGTGGTAGCAATCTCTGGGTTGGGCGTCTTGAGGAGCTCGTCTTTGGCCGAGGGGTGACGTCGTGGAATGGTCTCCCCCTCGACGGGCTCGTAGCCGGCTGCCTCGACGGTGAAGGGACCCCTCTTCAGGACGCGAGGGTAGAAGACCGTGTCTTTCGACATGCTGGGCTTGAAGCAGAGAAGGCTAAGAAAAAAAAAAAAGGCTCTTGGGGGGCAGCTCGCGTGGATCGATGGAGATCTGGTTGGTGTGCGAGGCGGGTTTGTTTGGAGCTCTCTGCAGGCAGCAAGAGGGACAAAGACGACAGGCTGTCTTTGTCCGGCGACTGGTTAGCAGTGATGATCGATGGCGTCTTCTGCTGCGTCTTCACCGGCCAAGTGCTCCGTGGTCGAGCAGGTCGTTAACCGAGCTAGCTGGTTGACTTTGTTGAGGTTGTTGGGAGGAGGAGACGAGGGCCCCCTGGGTGGAGATGCTGATGGAGATGGGTTTTTTCTTACCAGGCGAGTTTAAAAGCCACTAACTAGTTCACTGCTGGCAACGGGCGGGATGTATCAGAAAAAAAAATAAAAAGAACACAGTAAAGGAGACAGCTAAATATATAGAAGAAAGAGGCTGGCAGAGAGTAGACAGACTCAGCCCGTTTGCTCTAGTTGTCTCTGCTCCCGTTCTATCAGGTCTATCATGGCGCTCTATCGCTTTGGCAAAGCCAGCGGACGGCCAGTCACCTTGCCTTCCCCCTTTCCCTCCGAGCAGCCAGCAAAAGCAAACATGGGCCTCTTCTCCCGCAAAAGGACTGCAGAGAGACAAGCCCAGCCCAGGGTTCGCTCGTTCTCCCGCCCTGGCGTCCGCCTCTGCCAGGACTAGCACCCAGTTTATTTGCACCCAGACAGGCCGTTGAGCGAGCCATCAACCGCTTGCTCTGCCTCTTTCGTCCCAGTCGGCTATTTGTAGCCAATCAGTCGGGAACTCCAAGATCCTTGGGGTCGCGGGCAGCGACTTGGCCGACAGCCAGGCAGACTGTTCTACCCCGGGAGAAGTTGTATATAGTTCGGGCCAACACAGCTAGTTAGCAGTCCGTGGCGTTTCTCTATCAGAGAGCAACTCGTCCAGGCTGGCAAAAAGGCAAAGTGCAACATGGCGAGTGTTATTGATTGAATATCATGACTCTTTATGGAGTGTATGTTAGTTATCTGCTAACTAGGAAGCTTGCCGCAGATCTGGCTGCCAGTGATAGATCCGATCTTGTGCTGCATCCTCGGCAGCTCGTGTCTCACCAACCAGTCTATCACGACAGGCTTTCCGCTTTCCGGCTTGTCACTGCCAGGCACCTCTCGGTCTCGTCAGTTTGGCAGTGATCTTGCTGTAGAGTAACTCGTAGTCAGTGGCAGTGACAGCGTCCGGGGGAGTCGGGTTACTCTTCGCCCTTTTTCCATCATCCTCCGCTTCAACGTCCTCCGTCACCTCTGCATTGTCTTCATCTTCATCGTCTTCATCATCAGCTTCATTGTCGTCTTCATCGTCTTCTCGAGTTTTTCTTTTTTTTTATCGTCGTTTCTGCGTTTTTTCTCTCTAAATCGTCGATGTAGTTGCTTATTTCCTTTTTGGGATAGCCAGCGTGAGCAAAATATTTATAATGTTTTTTTTTCTTTTTTCCATAATTTTTTCCTCTATAAAAACACAAACTCGCGACGTCAAAGACGAAGACGAAGACGAAGATGCAGACGGAGGAGATGGAGTGAAGTGAATGTGTAAAAGCGGCTTGCTTGTCACTGTTATTTCACTGTCCTGCTCCAAGTGGGCGAAGTGAAGATGACGTCGAGGTAGGTTGGCTGAACTGACTGCAGATAGAGGAACGAGGAACTTCCCACCAGGTTCGACAGCATAAAAGAGCGTTCAAGATACCCTCCAGAGTACGCCTTTTAAAGGGACACATCTCAGTGCAGTGACATCCAGCAGGACAGCCAGAGCCAGGACGGTGCATGAGGAAGACCAGTATACGCGCTTCCAAGATGCCGCCAGCACACCAGACCGCAACAACTACAAAGACAGCTCAGCCAAAGATGACTATGGAAAATTTAAATACCCTGTGCAAACAAGGCCGTCACGCCGATGTCAGTGTCAAGTCTGCTCTGGAGCCGGTATCGTTGAACCACCCTTCAAAGGTAACAGCCACGGCCAAGTTCAAGATTTTCAAGGCGAAGAGAGAATCAGTCAAACCGAGACAGCTGGAGAAAATATCACGGCCGGCTGCGTCTACGACTCCTACTTACCAAGGCAGCCAGAAGAAACAACAACAGGACCAACAGCAGGAGCTGGAGGTTGCTATTCCACGCTCGCCTTCCCCTGGTTGCGGAGTCTTGCCGGATTGCTGGAGCTGCGGCACAGAGTTGGGCGACTGCCCCCCATGCAGCTGCGAGGAGTGCGGCATGCCCAATTAACAGCACTCCATTCCTCGCTCTTCCTCTGGCTTCCTTGGTCTGTTCTCCATTTCTCCGGTTTTCCGTGGTTCTTTTCTTATCTATAATACGTTCTTTCTTCCTTTCTTCTTCTTCTTCTTTCTTTTTTTTTTTTCCTTCATCCGTGGACATGATGACATAGCTAGCGTAGTAGCAGGGAGTTTATACCTGTTCGGTTATTTACTTTACCCTGCTATATTAACACTTATATCCAGCTATGTTGTATCCTGGGTTGCCTGACTTGCCAGGATTATCCAACGGGCCTACAGACATACGAGTGCGGGGATGGACCCGACCTGGGGATTAGCAGACAGTGCTAATCAATATCTCTTCACATCTTACATTTCTCTTTACTATACTCTTCATGTTTACTTTCACTAGCCGAAAAAGGCATACATGGCCAATATTCTGGTTATTGATATGGAGTCAAATAATACCTTTACTTCAGGAATGGGCGTGCAAGGCCTCCTACTCTCTGACCTTCTTCCTATCCGGCTTCTCGGCATCCATTCCCCAGGATCGGACTCGTCCATGTCCAGGCCTGGATGCTTGCTCTTTTTAGAAAACCATTCCTCACTTGGTCAGGTGAGGGGTTCGCGACCTCAGGGATATGCCTGCAAGCCATAGGTGCAAACCCCAGTTTTTACGTGAATCATGCATGAATTATCCTCGACTGAACAAGATCAAGACTTCGGCAAGACTGTCCTAGGCTTGCAACGCATGCACAGTGGCCCGAATCTAGCGACCGCATTTACAAATCACAGCGTCGTTCTTAAATGACGATATCAATGTCTCCGTCTTGATACATATCCAGCTAACGTATTAAGGTCTAGTCAAGAAGCTGAAAGCCGTATAGAAGGCCCTGGAACGTCTGCAAAGTGGGCCATGCCACCGTGAATGGCATCAATCATTTAATCAACCATGAATATCGCACTTGTCTTATCGCAGGATTAGTTTTCTATCAGTTAATATATTTCTTCAACACTTATCGGGGTGGATATCGGAAGGCAAACAATTTCAATCTGGCCTACGACGTCAAACGTGACCAGCTTCCCCGGCTCTGCAGCGAGAACCTGTTGGGCACAGTACGGCTGCAGGCTTAAACGGTATCCGTATCCTTGGTCTCTGGGGGAAGGGTTTCCCTCTCAAGACGCCATCTACTCTTCCAGGCAAGTATCTCCGCAGCCTCCACACAGCCTCTTTTCACCAATCCCCAAGATGAGACTCTCTTCGTGGAAACCAGGGGTAAACCACACTAATCCCCCATACTAGTCGACTAGCGTCTAACTCTGACAACCCGTACCTGCGAAAGTGAGGAAAGAGGGGGTCCGTCTATGCAAGAAGGCTCAGTGTGGCTCCAAGCCACCCGTGCGATGATAGAGAACGCAAACGCAGAGAACCAGGAAGAAACAACCTGAACAACTTCCATGCATGGCTGGACAGTCGCCTTATACCTTATGTATCAACTTTCATCCCGGCTATCTGGGTTCTCCCTGGGATCTCTGGTGTCGATCAAAATGCTTCCTTTCCAATCCTTGAGCATCGCCTTGACCACATCGCGAAGTCCTCAGAAATTTGGACCTGCACACCAGCCCACGAAATAGCGATTATCGTTGCCACACTAGGCTCGTTCAAGGAGGTCAACAGAGTGTGTGATCTCAGGACACAGGAAGAAACGAAAGTTAAAAGTGCCCACTTTTATCCATCCCGTCCAGCCACCAGTCATCGTTGGGAGAGGATCTACGACATTAGCCTCGCAGTTTAAAGTCTAACTCTCTGTTCCCAGGCAGAATACTTGCTTATATATACGAAAAAGTTCAAAGTATTTCACATGCGGGGTGCGTCTAATCTGGACACCACGCAAAGCTAGAGTGAATCGAATCAATGCAAATTTCAGGGCAGGCCGGACCAAGGGATAACTAACTTAGGCCCCCAGAGTCAGCCGCGGGAGGCAACATGAATCAAATCCAAGGCCGTCCAATATTCTCCCAGAAGCTTCAAACATAGCAATATCTTTGACCGCTCGTAACGAGATTAGAATTCTCCACTTGGCACGCGAACTCCGGAGTATGACCTCCTCTCCTCCTCCCCCAGAAAATGGAGATGTCGACTTGGCAGGCAGCAGACCAGTCCGGAGAAAGGATACTCTTTTTTGTCTAGCGGCTCACCAGAGGACGAGCGCAAGGCACGCAGCCAAAGTCAGATTTTCTGAACAGCAGATATGTATGGTGAACAACGGCTGAGATGGGGAATCTCGTAAAGCAGAAGGGCCTGTGAACTTTCACATCCTGGCAAAAGATAACTTGGCATGGAACATTTCCATCGCTTAGGTTTCCGCAGTGCACTTTCGCTCTTTTCCATCCGCCTTCGCTCCCTGTTCTACCATCACTGATACCCCAGATTCTAGCGCTTCTGTGAAGGTCCTCAAAGTGTTAGTCAGTCCTTCGTTTCTTCTTCCAATGAATGCTGAAACGTTTTGGCGTGACCAACCAAAGCACACCATCACGGCTACGTGCGGGTCGAAGGCTCGACGTCGTGATCAGATGGCAAAGCTCTGCAATGCAGTATCTTGACATGTCAGACTTGTCACCACGCTCGTGCTGTAACCTGGGGAATTACTTTTTCACTCTCTCTGGGGCTTTCCTTTGCCTTTGCATTGTCCAGTGTCTTGACGTTGCAGCCAGCAGGACCCTAGCAAAGCTCATGGGCCTCGGGGATATTCCTTGCAACGTCGAGATAACAAGCTGGAGAGCACAAGCAGGGAATCAAAATAGAACAATTCCATATTAACTTTGCTTTTCTGTGGGACTGGTTTATACCCCCCCGTATTTGTTAACCACGGAGATGAGACGGGACTGACGGGAATGACGGGAGAGCGTCCTACGACCATCGTTACTATAAAGATGGCCATCCGCCTTTGACATCTTTCAGAAATATTTCCCTTTCTCTCCTCCATCCCCTCCAACCCATCATCATCTCCATTTCCAGAGTTGTTTGTTGTTGATCAAGATGAAGTTCTCCGTTTCCGTCTCGCTGCTTGCTGCAGCTGGCCTGGCCTCTGCCGCCAATGAGTTTGCCATGAACAGACTGATGTCCATGAAGGTTGCTGAGCGTGAAGAGTACAGAGCTAAGGGAATGTTCGCTCCTGGACGATATGGCAACTCTACCAACAAATTTGTTCCTTGCAGACACGGCAAGTCTGGAGAATATTCCTGCAACAAGGTTGACCAGCACGGTTTCCTTACCCACCAAGAGATGGGCAGCACTACTCGTGAGGGTAACGATGTCTGGGGTAAGTCAAGTGTTGGCTCAATGCGTAATGCGCTAGCCGGAATGTTAAATGCTGACTAGGTAATAGGTTGGACCTCGAGGGATGGCCGTGAATTCGGTGCCATCGGTCAGACCGATGGAACTGCTTTCGTTGAGATTCTCAAGGATGGAAGACTTGAGTACAAGGGCCGACTGCCGACTCAGACTGTGTCCAGTATCTGGCGTGACATGAAGGTCATTGACGGATACGTCTACATTGGAGCTGAGTCTCGTGACCATGGTCTCCAAGTCTTTGACATGCGCAAGGTAAGCTAGATTTTTTTACTTCCTAGAAGACGATAGTAAGTTGCTAATGGGGCATATAGCTGCTCGATCTCAAGGAGCCAAAGACCTTCTCCATCAAGGATGACATGACCGCTTTCTTCAGCGGTTTTGGCAGCTCCCACAACATCGTCCACCACGAGGCAACTAAGATGATCTATGCCGTTGGAACCGGCAGAAAGACCGAGTGTGCCGGCGGTCTGTTCATGGTCGATGTTTCTGACCCAAGCAAGCCAACTTCCCGTGGCTGCGCGAACGCGGACGGATACGTCCATGATGGTGAGTTGTGATCTAAAGCATATCATTGAGCCGAACCATACTAATGTGCATCCAGCTCAATGCGTCATTTACACTGGCCCTGACCAGCAGTACAAGGGCAAGGAAATCTGCTTCGGCTACAACGAAGACTCCCTCACCATCTACGATGTTACCGATAAGCAGAACCCCAAGATCATTTCCAAGACCCCATACCAGGGCTCTGCCTACACCCACCAGGGCTGGCTCGCCGACCCCAAGAAGATGACCTACCTGCTCCTCGACGACGAGCTCGACGAGAAGGACGGCACTGCCCTCGGCAAGAACCACACCACCACCTACATCTTTGACATCAAGGAGCTCGCTAAGCCCAAGTACACTGGCTTCTACCAGTCCCCTGCCCAGTCTATTGACCACAACCAGTATGTTCTCAACGGCCTAACCTACCAGTCCAACTACGGCTCTGGTCTTCGCATCGTCGACGTCAGCTCCATTGACCGAAAGCCCGATGGCTCTCAGTTCAAGGAGGCCGGTTTCTTCGACTGCCACCCCGAGGACGACCACATGAACGGAGAAGTCTCTTTCCACGGCAGCTGGAGCACCTACCCATACTTCAAGAGCGGATACATCCTCCTCAACAGCATTGAGCGTGGTGTGTACTCCCTCCGATACAACGGTCCACCAGCCCGTTACCGCTGGTAAATTAATCGCCAGAACTTTTCTTCTTCGTCTTGATATTATATAGAATATTCAGGCATGTACATAGCTTTTAAATGAATATACGAATGAACATATATACCGTTTATGAATTCTCATATTGCTCCATACTCCAATATCACGTTTATACTTTTAGCTAGTTAGCGGCTTTTCCGCCCTAGAAATAAAATGCCAGATAGCCCAGCCCAAACGACCTAGCAAGTACACTGACACCATCCAGTGCTTCAGACACTTCGCAACAGACGCAGACATGCCATTTGACCAGATCCTAAGCGAGAGAAACATCTATATGTCCGGTACAATCGCCAGCAGCTGACAATACGCCACATTCGTTCGTCATGGACCTTCTCGGTCTGCTGGGTGCCATTGGACACGAGGTTGAAGACGCGGAAGACGGTAGCTATGCATAAATCAGTCAACCGGCATGTTCTTTACGTTATCTGACCGTCTTAGATGCCTTTATCCAATTCTCACACCCTATACCCTCGAGTAACTTGGGCTTTGTTGACCCTCGATCAAACACTGTCGAGCTCACCGTTGGCGGAGAAGAGCTGACCATCCGCCAATCGCCAACCATCTTATCCTCGAAGAGAACAGGAGGAACTACAGGTGCCGGTACGTACATATCCATATATCCATTACCGTTACATCTATCTAGTGGTTGGTTGGGATGGGATGTTCGAGCAATTATTGGCGAAATACCCGTTCAAATTCTTCACTACCTAACATGACACGGTTACAAAACACATGGAAGGAAAGCTACAAAGCTACAACTAAACGAACAAACACACAACCTAACTGAGCTGAACTGAACTGAACTGAATTAGAAAGAAAGAGAAAAGAAAATGAAAAAGGAAAATACTGATAACAGGAATAGTTCTCTGGCAAGTTACTCCCAAACTAGCAGAATGGCTCTGCAAGACGGACAACCCCCTTTGGAAATCATCCGTTTTGAATTCGGAATCGGCCGTCGTCGAGCTGGGATGCGGTACTTCGGCGGTGCTGGCGGTATCCCTTGGACCGAAAGTAGGGTGTTACGCCGCGACTGATCAAGAGTATGTTCGGAAGCTGTTCAATGAGAACCTGCATACGAATGGCAAGATGGATTCTTCGTCTTCGCATGCAGGTTCAATGGGCAATAGATCTGGCAAAAGGGTTGAGAGAAAGGGTGGTAAACATCACCATCACCATCATCACCACCGGCCAGAGCGTGAACGGCGAAACAGCCCTGCTCGTCGAGGAGATGATGGAAGCGGTTCCGGCGACTATAGTGGCGGTGGAGTGGCGGAGAAGATCAAATTCGTCCCGTTGGATTGGGAGTTGGATTCGCCTGATATGCTGAAACGTTCGATCGGTGCTGACGTTGCCGAAGATGACCCCGGCTTCGACCTACTGGTTGCATGCGATTGTATATACAACGATGCATTGATAGCTCCGTTCGTGGCGACGTGTGCTGATATATGTCGCTTGCGCCCGTCAGTGGGCGAGGAACGGCCCGAGAGACCTACGCTGTGCGTTGTTGGCCAGCAGTTGCGGTCTCATGAGGTGTTTGAGGGGTGGATGAGAGAAGCCTTGCAGGAGTTTCGGGTATGGAGGGTGAAGGATGAAGTCGTTGGGTCTACTCTGGCTTCTGGAACGGGGTATACGGTGCATATATTGCTTTTGAAAGGCGGAAACTAGATAGACAAGAACGGGACGAGACAGTGATATGACAAGAACAAGATGGAACATGACATGCAGGGGCGAAGTAAACATGAGAAGTAAAAGGGAGAGAAGAAGCCGAGGGAGGTAGTGATGGCGTGGCGGCGAAGGTGGAGGGAGATTAAAATTAGTACGACGGGCTCGAATTTTGTGAAAATGATATGATGCATTCATATTTGTTTTGAGACTGCAACGGAAAGGTCTAAGTACGGCTATGGGGAAGTTGCTAAGGAATCGCCTGCGTCCAGAGCTGCTAGGGCACTATAAATCAATCTGTTAGCATCGTGCGGATATGCGTGTCGTAGTAAAAGGTATGTTGTACTCACCCGAATGCGTTCTGAGAAGACTCATCTTTCTTCTCTTTTCCGGCTGGAGGTGTTCCAGTCCGGCTGCTTGCGCCGCTATCCTCGCCACCTCGCACAAGATTTCCTCCAGGTCCTAGGTTTCTTCGTCCGCTCCCGCTCCTCGAGCCAAGCAGGCCAGATGGACTGAAGGAAGCAGGCTGGTTTGTGCTTCTGCCTGTCTTTAGACGACGTAGATCATCGCTGCCGACTTTGTTGGAGTAATCTGGTGGGGGTACTTGGGCGCCGTAACCGCTGAAGTTACGGGCGTCACCGCGGCCAAGGTGCATGCGGCCGCTACCACCGCCACCGCCTCTGCTGGCTTGTTGGCGGGCTCTTTCGGCTTCTTGTTCTTGTTGAGCGCGGGCGGCCTACAACAGTTAGCATACAGACATATATAAAAGTACGTTAAGGGAACTAGGAGACATACATCTTCTCTGATCTCAGCAATAGTCTTGGGGCCCTTGTCAGCATCCTTTGATATCCAGTTGGCTTTCCGTAAATCAATAACATCCTATATATCAAATTAGTACTCAGCAGACCAGAGTTTGACATGCATGATAAGAGGAAGCGTGGACGTACCATAAGCATGAAGCGATGTCTGCTTTGCAATTCGGTCGTATCCATCATCAACTTGATACGGGCGAAGTATGCATCCATCATCGCATGGCCCTTCTCAGAGCTATCCAAACTAGCACCAATAGTTCTCAACAAACTGGCCAAACTCTCTACCTCAGCCTCATCAGGTACACCGTCATAGTCAACCAGTCTCTTAACACAATCATGCATAATTCGTTCCGTCAACATTCCCAGCTTGAACAGCTCACCAATGAACTTGACTAGACCCAGACCACGTCGCTTGGCAGCCGCAGCCTTGTAGTATTCATCGGACATCATGGCAACTTCTTCGGTGACACCCTCGGGTTTCTCGGGCATGTTGACCTTCCAGCCTCGCTCGAACTCTTCTTGACAGCGATTAAGTAGGTATTTGCGGAACAGGCTGCCTCCAGCTACTATTGTGCCGTTGCGGTCGCGGATGTTCTCGTCCTTGATTTCAGGGCTCATGCTCTCGTGCATACGCATGCAGAACTTGGCGTACATGGATGCCCAGTGAGCTTCGTCAGTAGCCTTTTCAAAAGCGAGCTGGATGACTTGTCGGAGGGTGCGGCCATCAGATTCGTCCTTGGATTGAGCAACAATGTCGAGAATTTGGCCGGATATCTTGTCGAAGTTCTCGGGTGTCATCTTGTTCAAGTTACTCTTGACCTTACCCTGTACAACATCAGGTGGTAGATGGCCATCTGGAGCGAGGGTGGGTCCCTTCTGGCCTATGCTGCGTGGCTTCCAACCGGTGGTGGATGTGTTAAGAGGCTTGATGTCTGCATTAGCAGTCAGAGGCATTGTCTTGCTCAATTCCTCTTCCTTCTTCTTCTGCTGTCTGCTTCCAGTGCGAGCACCTCTGTGGCTTGGGTTACGGGAGCCACCAAGCTGTGAACCAGCAGCAGAAGCAGATCGGGCACCCATGGGGTTGAGAGGGCCGAATTGGCCGAATGGGTTGCCACCCTTGGACGAGCCTCGGGGCGCATTCATGACGGGGAACCGATCGGAGCCAGGGGGTAGTGTTTGTGTCCGGACAGGTTGGTTGAAGTGGCCCATCATGGGGCCCTGGGCAGGGCCACGGCTAGCACCCGATCGAGGGCCAGGAGTGCGTACGGGGGTACGGGCAGAATCAGCGGATCCATCACCAACAGTCTCGCGGACGCGGGCATCCCAGTCGACGGAGGGTTTCTCCTTGAAAACGTTCTGGAACTGCAGCAAGAATTCCTTGTTGTATTTGAACTTGCGGTCTGCGGGGGCGTTGCTGTTAAGAGCTGGGTTGGGAGAAACAATGGAGGGTGGGTAGCAGACGTTGCTTGGATCTTCGAGGAATCGGGCGGAGTGCAGAGATTTCATGGCGGCACTAGGCTGTGGTGGTTCAACCTGCTTGGTTGTCTCGAGCTTGAGCGAGGCAGGTTTCTCACGCTTTCCAACACCACCGGCCAGAAGTTTCTGTGGTGGTCCCATGGAGGTATCAGAGACTGGGGTTGCGGCGCCGCTCTCGGGAGTAGCAACAGCAGGGCTCTCTGCTGGGGTAGCTGATTTGCCTCTAAGCGAAGCAAAGAGAGATTCGCGCTCCTTTCTGTCTGCCTCGTTCTCGCCGGACTCGAGTTTCTTGATACGTGCTTCCTCGGCGGCCTCAGCTTCGCGCTCAGCTTTCTTGAGCGCCTCCTCCTCGGCGGCAGCTCTCTCTTTTTCCTTGAGAGCTGCTTCGGCCTTCTCCTTGGCCTTCTTCTCTTGGTAGGCCTTTTCAGCGGCGGCTTCTCGGGCTTCAATCTCAGCCATCTCTCTCTCAATAGCATCATAATCAATTTCGTCCTCCTCAACGGCCTTGGCGGGTTCGTTTACGACTGGCTTCTCCTCCTTCTTCTCTTCTTCCTTTGCCGGAGTGGTAGTGGCAGTTGGAGCTGGCTCTGGGGCTGGAGCTTCAGATTGAGCTGGAGTTGGAGCGGGAGCTGGGGCGGGGGTCGCTTCTGGCTTGGGGGCGGGTTTTTCGGCAGCAGTCTTTTCCTCGGCCTTGGAAGCAGCAGCTTCCTTCTCCCGAAGACTCTGAACAATAGCATTCTGGAAGCTCTGCTTCTTCTCCTCTCCGGTTTGGGATTTGGTATCGGTAGCATCTGGTTCTCCGCGGCTGGCGGTGCGAGGCGGCGGGGTGGAAGTAGGCGTCACACCCGGCTTAGCAGGAGAAGCGGATCCACGAGCAGGCGAGCTTGACGGCTTTACGACGGAGCCGCTGCTGGGGTCACGGATGATCAGAGGGCTTTGCTTCTTTGGGACGACGAACGGGGACTGGTTGACGGGGCTTCCATTGTTGTTACTACGGCTATTTGTGTGGTGGTGTCCTGGACCGCCTGGGCCAGGAGCTGGAGGGACCTGGCTCAGGCTACTGCCGGGCCGGTCAGTAGCAGACAATTGAGAGGAAGATCTGGCGATTGGTACACCCTGTGGCATCTGGTGTGGCTGAGCTGCGTAGTGGCCGGGCATATAAGGCTGTTGGGGGATTCCGTAAGTATTTCGGGGAGACGAGGGGACCATGGGCATGGGCTGCATGCCATATTGGCCAGGGTAATAGTAGGCATTGTTATCGTACGGAGGGTAGCCCTGAGATTTGAATTTTGTTAGAAGATGTTCAAAATTGCCGCTTTCTGGCGAGAGGGACATGTGAGAAGAAGGTTGCTGCTGCTCTTCGTGTGGCTGTCGCTCCAATGTAGAGATTGGTGAAGGAGTAGGAAGTGGTAGTGGTTGAGAAGGGAGAGATGGAGGGTCATAAGAAGGGGGTTGATATGATTGATTGGTCAGTTGGGGAGGAGGAGGTGGTGGTAGTGGTGGAGTAGGAAGAGGAATCGGGGCATTGTGATGGGGGTAGTGATGATAGGGAGGAGCAGGTGTATAATGGGAGGAAGAATAGTGCTTTTTTTGATAAGAAGAGCGGCGTTTGCTGTGAGACTTGGTAGAAGGAGGACGAGGAGGGAAAGGATGTTGAATTACTTGTTGAGCTGCCATGGGCTGCGGATAAGCACCATACTGCTGGGCCTGCATCTGCGGGTTTGTCAGGGGCACGGGAGCCATCTGAGGAGTAGCCGGGTTCGTGTGGGAGAGCGCGGGGCTCGATCCGGGCTGCTGGTGCTGGTGTTGGTGCTGGTGCTGATGCTGATGCTGGTGTTGGTGTTGGTGATGGTTTTGATGCCGGTGCTGATGAGGAGGGTTTGGATAGCCACTGTATGGTCGTTGCTGGGTATTGTTGTATCGAGGGTTCATGTTTGGACCGCCTCGAGCATTGGGATGCGGTCTATATGGCTGGTGGTTTGGCCTCATGTTTCGCTATTAAGTGTTAACGCATTTTTAATATATATATATATATATATAT